TTCATTAACATCACTGAAGAAATAAAGAAAAAGTGTCTAAAAGGAGTCTGCCCCCTTAAGTTGAAGACTCTAGTCTCTATCCCATCAAGGCTGTCCAGGTGTGACAGTCCGGTTCCCTCCAGGTCGCCGATACAACGGCAAATGGCGCCGAACGCTGCCGCTACTTCAGCAGCGGAGTACGCGTGTGTAGCCAGTGTCTAGTCCGGACAATTCTCCTCATCACTTCTGCTGTCGGCCTGGGCATCCTGAGTCCCTGCGGCCACCGCTAATATGTCCTAGTCAGCGAGGCTCACAACACAATGGCCTGGACATTGCAGTCCGCTTTTATGAAATCATCTGCAGACACTTCATGTGGAACTGCTGCCAGGAAGCGAGACAACAACTCCTGAAACGCGTCTTTCATGCGCTCGTCGTCTTCACCGGTTTCCGCAAGTTACGCCGTCTCGATCGAAGCCTGCCTTGCGGAAGCAGTTGGCCACTGTGTCCATTATCACGTCTCGCCAGGTATTGAAGATCTCTGCGGCAGAAAACTTCTTGCAGATTTACAGCCACTCTTGCGTCATTCACAGCTGGATGTTCTAACTGCTGACAGCTCCGCTTTCGCCAAAATCGGTTTTGCCAACGATGTAGTAGAGCTGCTTAAATCGGTGAAGCCACCCGCTGTTGTCGGCGAAGTTGTTTCACCAAGTGCAGCGGCAAACCGTTCGACCTTGGCGATCAGCATCGGGCCATCCACATGTTCTCTTCGCGCGCACTTCTAAAAACCAGGCAGCGAGTGTCTTTTCAACATTCCTATGGGCATAAGCGCACACATCACAGGTTCCCAACACTCGCTGTTCGACCGCCTTTGCCTTGATATTTGCTTTGTTCTTACAAGGTACTCAGAGTGCTCTGTGGTACCCCGAAGTCGTCTGCGACGATCGAACATTACTCGCCCGCCTCAACACGCTGAATAGTCTTCAACTTCGTTGAAAAGTCAACAGTCTTGCGCTTCTTGACGCTGGCCATAACTTCATGAGATTTCGACAATTCAAGGAGTCCGCTGCAGCTTTGCATACCATGCATGCAAAATATTGATTGATATGTGGGGTTTAACGTCCCAAAACCACCATATGATTATGAGAGACGCCGTAGTAGAGGGCTCGGGAAATTTCGACCACCTGGGGTTCTTTAATGTGCGCCCAAATCTGAGCACACGGGCCTACACCATTTCCGCCTCCATCGGAAATGCAGCCGCCGCAGCCGGGATCCGAACCCGCGACCTGCGGGTCAGCAGCCGAGTACCTTAGCCACTAGACCACCGCGGCGGTGTGCATGCAAAATATAAATGCCGCACTTGCGATGGTATGTAGGCGGCGTGAGGACAGAAGCAAAATGCTCACGAGGCGATGGCCACCAGCGAGAGCAACAGCAAACGGCACGAGCTGTGGTTGGCTGATCAAATTTCGCAAAACAGCAAAAAAAAAAAAAGAAAAGAAAAGGCGAAAGGAGGAGGACATCGGCTTCTTGGTTCCTGCAGAGAAAGTATGAGAGAGAGAAAATGAAAAAAAAAAAGCCATTTCGCAAGTTAGAGATTGTGCAGTTCGAGCCCTCTCGCCCTTACCTTTTTGCGAGCGTTTCGGGTTTTAAAGGAGGCGTGGCACCGCGTGGAGCGTGCGAGTGCGAAAACACGCCTTCCAACTCGCGCGCGGAGCCACGCTGCCGCCGAGATTGCAGTACACAGTGCATGCGGAAGTGCATCTTCGAGCTCATGCAGCACTCGATATATTCGAAGGCGGGTAAAAATAGTGTTCGATATAAACATGCGAATTTCTATACTTTTACAAAGGAATTTCAAGGGGATAACTTACGAGTTCGATATACCCGAAAATTCTATATACAGTTAAACCTCGTTATAACGAAATTGGAGGGCCGCCACTATTTGCTCGTTATAACCAATATTTCGTTATAGCCGTAGTGGGCATTTATCGCAAATATTATGCACTGTACTTACCCCAAAAAAATAGCAGACGAAATAGCATCCCGCCGCACGGTGGTATGCAACAAAATAACCGCATTCCCAAATAAAAGGAAAAAGTCATGCACCTGTTTTAATGCACTTCAAAATACACAGCTTGCATTTCAGGCAGACTTAGCAGCAAAGAAGTCCGTAATTGGACGTTGATGCATCTTCCTGATGCGAACGATGGCTCGCTCAACTGCGGCCGCAATGTTCAAGCCATCTTCGCCGCCCTCATGAGCGCCGAAGTAGCGGCGCAGTACGTCCACCGCGTCTAATGCCTCCGACGCCGTCGGCACGTTTGTCTCCTGTTCGTCGACAGAGTCATCACTGGTTTCGTTACGATCACTGACAGCGCGCACAATATCGTCATCCAGGAGCTGCTCCGTTGCCACCACTTCCGAGTCCGCACTCACAGGTCGCAAAACGACTTGCTGTCAGGCACGACACCGGCGTCACGAAGTGCCGTCCATGATGCAGCTACTTCGTCTGATGTGGCAAAACCGTCCGGCACAGTGGGCTCGTCTGATGGCTCATCGCTGACGTCTGGTGCGGCGGCAAATGAGGCGTGTCGAAAGCAGTTTGCGATCGTGGTCGCCGTCACACTCATCCACGCCGCCTGAAGCATTTCGAGCGCAGCGTACAAGTCAACATCGGTGTCTCGCTTCATCCTCATGTTGAGCAGGAGCTTGTCTATCACACACTTGCGGTAACCTGCCTTCAGCGACATAATCACGCCTTGGTCAAGCAGCTGTATTTTTGCTGTGCAGTTGGCAGGAAAGAACAGCAGCTCGATGTTTTGAAGCACGGCAGCGGTATGGTGGGCGGTGCAGTTATCTAAAATAAGGCACACCTTGCGGTTCGCCTTTGCCAGCTTCTCGTCCCATTCGCAAAGCCATTTTGAAAAAATCTCCCTGGTCATCCAGGTTTTGCGATTGACTACGTACTTGACTGGGAGCTGCCTCTTCCTCTTAAAGCAGCGAGGGGATGCACTTTTGCCAATTACGAAAATGGGAGCTTCTCAGAGCCGGTCATGTTTGCACAAAGTAGCGCAGTGATCCGCAGCTTACTTTGTTTGCCGCCATGGCACGGCTCGCCTTTGAGGGCTAACGTCTTGTGTGGCAACATCTTGAAAAAGAACGCGGTTTCGTCCACGTTAAAAATATCCTCCGCGCTGTATTTTTCTAGCAGCCGCACGATGTTTTCTTTCGCCCACTTGGTAGCCTCTGCTTCGTCGACAGATTGCGATTCGCCGTAGACCGCTCTCCCGACAATATTGTGGTGCTCCTTGAAGCGTTGGAGCCAAACCGAACTTGCTACGAAGTTGTCATAGCCCATGCTGCAGGCAAAGTCTCTCGCTTTTCTTTGCAGCAAGGCGTCGCTCACCGGCAGATTCACGACCCGCGTGTCCAAGAACCATTTGAAAACGGCCCTTTCGACCGCTTCAAAGGCAGGTGCCCTCATCCTCTTAGCACTTCCTTTCACACCACGTGCAACAGCGTCGATGATAGACTCCTGCTTGCTCAAGATGGTTGACAGTGTGCTCGTCGATACGCCAAAGTCTCTTGCCACGTTGCCTTTCTTGGTCCCCGATTTGACGGCTCTTATCATAGCCGCCTTCTGATCTACCGTTATGCGCTTTCGCTTCCCGCCTGGCGCATTCATGTTGCTGGAATCATGAGCGCAGCACGATAAAAGATAAGGCGGAAGCGGTCAAAAAAGAGAAGAAACATGCACGCAAAAGCAACGCGGCTCACTTCGGCGAGCGAAAACACTTGCAGAGAAAGTGACTGTGAAGAGGAAGGGGCAGAAGGGGCGCTCTTTTGCGCTGCCCTCTAGGAACCGGTTACTCAAGGGGAAGGGGGTATGTAAGATTAGGAAGCGCGCCTCAGCGCCATGAGAAAGGGGAGAGGGAGAATATAAAGAAGATAGAAAAGAAAAGAAAAGGGCGAGACGTTCGCAGAGCTGCGGAGCGCTCCGCTGTCGGTGGTAGCCAAGCGGCGCACGTGCAGCGACCTCTCCTTCGGAAACAGCGCGTGCTGTCTGCTTTGCGCGCGTTGCTGGAGGGCGCGTGGCGGGAGTTTTGAACTGCTAAATACAGTTCTCGCGTTGCACGCCGTCTCAAATTCGCGTTGTGCACTGTCGTGACATCGGCTCAAAATTTTACTTCCTAACAAAACTTGTTCGTTATATCCCATAACAGGCAAATTTTGTCTTGTTAAAACAAGGTTATGAATACATTGGTTTGTATGGGGACTTTCAAGGGGAATTAGGATTTGCTCGTTATATCCATTATTTTGTTATAGCCCGTCTCATTATAACAAGGTTTAACTGTATGTGGGTTCAATATAACAATGTTTGACTGTAGAGGTTAAGAAAGAGCAAGATATATTGTACATTAGATGAAATGAACCTTTTGCAAGAATAATTTGTCTTCATTTAGCTTCATATTGCAGTGTACTGATACATATGATTACATTTCTGAAGGCACTACCACGTTTGACAAGTTGTGCGATGTGCCCCTTTCTGCAAGCAAGCTGAAAAACAAAAAATTTCCTTGCTCACAATATACATAACCGAAAATAAATTCAGACTATATTTTTAGCCTGAGATTAGATTCTATTCATGCCAAAAGTAAGCATCAATGACTTCAAGATAAAGAAATATTTAATGGCAACTTAATTATAACGAGTTACTATGACATAGATATATTCAACAATTATCTCATTATTTTTATTGAAATAGAATATTGAGTACCTTGAAGTAACATTGTAGTGATTTGACACATTTACAGACATTCCTTCATAGTTGGCATCTGAAAGGGTTAAGCATATGTTATAACATGCTGTACATTCCCAAGTGAGTCCATGTCAAGCTGATAAATCTCCGTCACAAATGTTGCTGTGCACCATTAATTTTGTTTGAATGGGCTTTGAACATCCATTCCTGTCCTGTTTTCAAGCACGACTTAAAGCACAGCTGCATTTAGCCAAACACCCACCTATAATCCAGCTGCAGGAGATTAGGAGGCAAAATCAACGACCGCAGAGTCTTGTTCTTAATTGCTAGGTTGTAACGCAGCAGTGGAACCACCCGTGGTGTCAGGCTCGCACACATTCCAATATCCAAGTCCCGCACCGGGTGTACTGACACGAGGGACCAGAGCTCCTGGTCTTTCAGCGGCCGGTTTGGTGGCACCCGCAGCCTGTCCAGGCGAGTCCACTCATATGCATACACCAGCAAATCAAGAATCGCACGCCAGGCTGAGGCACCCCCTGCAATTAGTTTGTTTTTCCTTTTGACAAACTATAAAGGGAATGTAATGAAAATGCAGCAGAAAAACAACATCGGACGTGAGAAAATGTCTCCCTACTGTTCATCCTCTTTTTTTTTTACTTCTCTTTAGTTTCAACGAAGAAAATTACAGCACAGTAATAATACTAATATTATTAATAATACTACCTTTATTATGTACAATATTTATTAAGGCATACATTCCTAGCTTGAGCAAAAAGAATTTCACATTTCTTTCATTGTATTCGATAATTCGTTTTACCTATGTCCATTATACCAAGACTCAACTGCAGGTTGAATTACCCAGCCATTTCCCTCTCGCTCTTCTCAAACAGAGTCTCACAGGGCATACTGTGCCACAAATACCTGCAGCTGTCATGATTAAAAATACCCATGCAAGCTACCACACTGCATATTATCCTGCTTTGCATTTGGGCCAAATAGGCTATCAGTATCCCTGAAAATGCAAGTAGAAATATGTAAGCCCAAGAGAGTTCCTTCTCGACACTAAGCACTGAACTGCCAGGCCACATCACGGCTACACATTGAGCGGCAGTTGGAACCCAAACATTTGCAAGCTTTAGCGCATGTTACAAACAATTTTAAGGTAAAAGGTTCAAATTTAGTGCATGCCAAGCAGTCAAGCCAGCGAGAATGCATTGCACCAGGCATCAGGTTGCACAAAAATGAAAAAGTGTTAAAGTGTTACTGACAGCACTAACCAATCCAAAATACCACCAACTCCTTATCTTTTGTGCACTTTCAATCACCCACCACCTGACATCCATCTATACTATCTCCCAGCATACTGACCAAAGCCACTTATTTTCAGCTGCAAGACATTCAAAAGACACTTTAATTTGCTCACACATAGTATTTCTTCATATATACTGTCATTCAAGATGTTTCCTTCTTTTTTAACCCTTAGTGCCCTTTGAAGAACATGAAGTCCATCAAAAGCTCGAGAGACTTATTCAGATTCACTTAGTGACAAGATGCATTTCCTTTAATTCCTTTATATCATCAAGAAAATAATAGAAAAAAACATAACATCTATGGCAAAAAAATCTTTGCAGAAATTTTCAAGGAGCAAACATGTTACAACCAAATAATGAGTTCTTTATTATTGAAGCTAGTTCGATAAAGATGATCGGCATACAACAACCCGATTTCATTGTGCAGAAAAACCTCCAAGCTCCCACTTTCAGCTTATTTTATGTAAGCACACTAAAAAAAGTGCATTTCATTTTTAAATTCTACTTCCCTTTCTTTCCAAGATTTTGAGCAACCAATAATACAGCGCCTAGGAATAAAATTAAGCCTATTGCACTAGCGGTGCCAAGCCTGCAGCAAAGATAGCTTAAGCAGCATTCTGCACGGGTTAGAGCAGGACCAAAAAATCTCAACACGACAGTGTTAGAGAGCTCGTGTCGCAGAAATTTTGCCACCAGAGTCTGCACCATTGGCGAGTGAAAAATCAAGAAAGAAGCAAATAAAATAAAGAATAAAATTCTCAGTCCCATTGAGGATCGAACTCTGGTCCTTCGCGTGGCAAGCAGGTGTCCTACCACAAAGACACAATGTTACTTGCAGCTGCTTCGGGGAAAAAAAACTACATAAATGCCATATAGTCGAACACCGCTATGCCCCCTCCCCCCTCTGTTTTTTTTTTTTCTCACGATGGGATTAGCTTTAGGCTACAACTTCTCAGATCACTTGCAAGATGTGTTATACCAGATAAAGTAACAAAGGAAAGCGCCCGTTGATCCGGGGTGCTTGATATTTATCGCCAGAACAATACAACTAAAGCAACTTATAGACAGAAAAATGTTTTATTTATCTTTGCTATGGCGATCACTTTGGTTTTGGTTGCAATGGCAGCGTTCGCAGCACGTCAACTCTGCTCACGCGCGAAGAACGCAGTATGCACTTCCCGCTCTAGCTGCTAACATGTCATACCATATTTACTCGCGTAATCCTCGCACTCACATATTTCTCGCACCCCCGACATCGCCCAACAAAAATACGATTTCTCGCTTTCTTCTAGTAATTATCGCACCGTCGAAAATTGTCACAATAATGTCGTCTGCTCGTTCCAGCCACTGATGATAACAGCGTGCGTCGTCTGGCACCATCTTCTAAGCATAGAGCGTACTATTATTGCACCGAAATTTAATCCAATCCAATCCAAGCCAAAGTGGCAAGTGCCCGTTAGGGCGGGATTTGTATGTTGTGTCTGTAATCTTGTTACGCTATGGGGCAATACGAAAGCTACACGGCTGCATTAAAGTTGATTGATCATGCACTAAGCAACGGCAACAGGGCTGCCGGTAGGCCTTCGGAGTAGATGAGTTCTGTATTCGCTACTGGTGACGGCAGCTGAAAGCCACCAAGACGTGTTGGGCATTCCGTGTGCCTAAGACTAGGATTCATGGTTAACTATTTCTTCAGAAGACAACTGCGGACGATTCTGTTAAATAGCTATCAGCCCAATACTGACGTCCTTCGCTTACCTTTTGTGAACTCCTGTTCGCACGAACGCTACCGCTACGCCCGCAATACACACAAGCTTTGTGTACGGTATTCTAATTCTCGACTATTTGATTGCGCCTTTTGTGTCTCAAATAAATCTTGCCTTGTGTTGAACCTGTGCTTTTGTTGTTCTGGCGTGAGAATCCAGACCTGCGACCACTTCCTTTTCTTTTTCCCTTTGTACGTTTTCGTGGAAAGTTTTCCCCACGTAATTCTCGCACCCCCAAACTTTGCATTGGTTTTTCACGAAAAAAAGTGCGAAGATTATGCGAGTAAATATGGTAGCTACGTTTACTGACAAGGAAGCTCATACTTCCTTTGAAGCATTGTTGGCTACAGTAATGCATTTTTGTCTAGAAGTTGTGCCGTCCCGCCGATAGGCATACGCTGCAGTCAGCAGACAGATGGGAGCATGGCTTCTTTACTTTAGCACATCGATTGCGTCTTGTGAGTTCTCTGACCTAATGAGAATGTATCTGACACTGCGGTTTAGGTTAGAGTCTGGGCGCTTGGATTGATTGATGACGCAAAAGTGCCAATGACCAACATGGTCTATTTCTCGCTGACGTTCGCGCAACTGAAAAAATTTGGGGGCTAGTCAGGTATTTTGGCACAGCATGGTGCAATTTCAGCAAATTTCATGGTTTTGGCGCAGTGCTGCGCAGAAATGGGAATTTGTATCAAATCGGCGCAGCTATTGCACCCCTGCGTCACACGCTGGACGAATCAGCACATGCATGCAGGCAGGGCGTAGACTGGCACACCGAGCACGTGCCCCCCTCCCCCTCCTAGTTTTTTTTTTTCGCCATGGCATGAAGCGCGAAAAATGGCCATTTTAAGAGGGTGCCCCTCCTAAAATCAAGGTGGTACACCCTCCCCAAAAAAATATCTGGCTACGTGCCTGCATGCTGAGAGCGAAGCAAACGTGCCTGCATGCTGAGAGCGAAGCAAACAAAGAAGAGGACGAAGAGAGTGTGTGCCAGTTTGTGATGATGATACTTTTCTATTCCCTCTGCATAGACTAACGGTTGGCCTAAACAGTCCCGCTGTTAAGAAGGAACTAGAAACTGTTTCTTCAGATTTGCCGAGAGTTGGGTGAGTATGCAGCACAGAGAAAAGCACCTTCACATTAGCGAGGTACCCACTGTCGTGAGCACCAAGGAACTGACCACACACCTGGATAATTGTCATCTGCGGCCAGCTTCAGGAGGCGTTCGCACAATGGAGCCGGAAGCCTGAGCTCTGACTCGTCTGTAATATACAGGTACAACTGCTGCAGGCACTGCAGACCAGCCAAGTCAACTAGTCGGTCGGGCGTGTACGGCTCCCAAACCGTAGGGAAGCCTGGGAACCGAGGCTCCATGCTTGCACTAAGCAAACGTTGCCCAACAAAGCACTTCGGCCTCAGCGGCACAGGGCTCCTTGTGTGAACACCATGCGGACGACCTGCGAAATTAAGCTTCACTTGCTTAAGCATTCATAGGTACTCTTTCTCCATAAATAGAAACTAAGCTCGCTGCAAATGGCCAGTTTTATTCATTAGTGAAGGTACATCCTTATCAGTAGACAACGTTACTGCAATATCCATGCATAAAATTCCTTCATTCTAAAACATCTTCCCCCATTTTAGGCTCTATCAATGCTTTTACCTCTGTCTCTTTGCCTTCATTGCACTCCCATCTATTGCATGTTTGCTTATAGTTTATCTTGCATTGATCTGCTACATTTTTGTATTTGTTTGTATGATGCCAAGCCCGCATTATCAGTAACAGAACAACATGACTAAAGTCAGCATTTGATCCAACAGACAGGATGGAATGCTCATAATTGAGCAACGGTACTCAGGACAAACACTGTACAATACTATAAGGATCAGTCTATACACACAGTATTGCCAAAATGAACAGACTGCTTTGATTTCAAAAGGCCTTCCAGTGACCAGTACAAGGTAAACGCGGCATTTTGTGTTGTTTTGAACATTTTCTGGTTTAAACACGCAGGCTTAACTCTTTCACTACTGTGCCTTTTTTTTGTTGTTGTGTGTATGTTTTTTTGCACTGATTCACACTGCATGCAGAGGTTTTTTTTTTTTTCTGCCCGTAATGTGTAAATTTTTTGCAAGCAATAGAGCACAATGCTATTAAGGAATGGAATAAATAAACCTTATTTTTGTCCCGCAGGGTGCGCTTAGCACGTAACGGGCTTTTCTCACGCAGGGGCCGACAGGAAATACCTGGCAGCCGCTTAAGGGCATGTAAACATTTTTATAGGAAATTATCTTGTCAAAATAACAGTAGCACTCATTATAAGCAATGACATCATTAATGAAATTGTTATTTTTTAAAATAAATAAATACCCACTGCTTCAGAATCACTGAGAGACTAATTATTCACTTTATTCAAGTTCGAAGGAGTCAAGAACTCCAACTCTGTTTTTCTTTTTGCATATACTATGCGCAAGTGGCATGCCGACTCGCTATAGCTGTGGTGCTGAGATGCTGGCAAAGAGACATTAGTCAACACTGATGTACAAGCATGTCCTTCCTAAGTTGTCAAAAATTCCTCTGAGTTATCTTTGTATTTACTTGTAGTCACAACAGACAGTGTAACACAAATGCATTTTTTTTTACGAGTGTTCTCTCGCTAGTAACAGGAAGTGATTCAAAGAGGCAAAACAAGTGTACTCGGGATTGGCAGGGCCTGTGTGAGTATAATCACCTGAGCTCTTTCATAATTGGCTGGAAAGAGTTAACAAGTGACAAACGTGCTTTGGTGCATCTACCACACTATAAACTACTAAGTCGGCTGGCTATCCCGTCATACTGTCAGGGAAATTACACTAAAGTGGTTCTGCAGTTTCGCCACGCTTAAATCAGTAAATTAAACTATGTAACATGGCCACAAGGGCTAAATCAATACATGGCAGTTCAGTTTATGCACCATTGTTCAAACAATTTTAGAAGAAAAAAATGCCGCCCTTCACATGCACACAGTGCCCGGTCAGGTCATCAGTTCCCCTCAAGTAGAGCAGCCCAAATAACATCACCATTGCCTTTTGTTATAGGACAGGTGGTAACAATACTGATCTCTGTGAATGACACCCCAGAGTAACAAAGCAACAGCAGCAGAAGAATGGATGAGACCTGTTAACCCCAACACCATTCCCCAGTTCCTAGAAAATCTAGAAGAGTTTATATGTATATTTCTAATGGCTGGTGCCTACGAATCACTGGGCTTGATGGATCATCATCACCATGTTACTATGGATTAAAATTTGCTGGGAATTCAAACCATGCTGGAAATGGCAAGGCATTTATTTTCAGAGACTGCATAAGTTCCCTGTTGCATACAGTGGTATGTTCACTGTCCATAGACTGTAAACACTTTCTCAGAATGTACCAAAAGTGTTTTGGGGCCTCTTTGAATTCAAGTACTATGAATTTTCAAATTTTCCTTGGCTAAAGAACCCTATGCAAGACTTGACAAAACTCCAAGAGACTGAGAGTTGGGCTAGTTCATTTTGCCTAGGTGCTGGTGTGCCTCAAGATACGTTCATACATGAACCACTCTATGAGCAGACAGTGATCAAGATGTTGAATGTAGAGCACTATAGAAGTCTATCTGCCTACTGCTGCAAAATCAGTCCAGTGCCCATCACTGTAGTGCTACCACAAAATATGTCTGATATAGCGACACGCACTTTAGCTTTGTAATTTTTTTTAATGCACTTCTTGAACTAAAGGTAGTAGATTTATTAGGAGGTGGCCTTTTTACATTCTTCGGGTTTCTTGCCTCACGTGTGTAGACCACACTGCCAGGTAGTCCCATTCTGATTCTCAAAAAACGCTCTAGGCTTTCAGCCTAATCAGTCCTCTCTATACCCTTCAGTATTAACCAAATAGCAAGCATTGTGACGTTAATAAATCTAACGCCCTGAGATGGCGTACAAGGATTTCTTAGGAAGCTGCCTGTTTAAGTTCTTTTAATAGTAACGCGATGCCCTTAGGCACAAGATTCTTTTACATATGCCACCACGGTGACAAGCGGTACTCGATGACACTGCAATGTTTAACCATCCTCAACATACAAAACTCACGGATTGAAATAGAACAATTTTGGGATAAGTAACCCACATGCTTTCACTTCCATAGTCTTGATCACGGGTCACATTACGGATCACATCGGAGTGATTTCGACTTGAGCACGAAGATCCCAGGCAACATATTTAAAGAACAGATTCATCACGACATGATGTAGTTATCTCCAGCAATCGTGCATATCAGTTTAATATTTGATGTCTTGTTAGAATCCGTGAGTACTATACATACATAAATACCCAAGAATGTGCATGTGAAAACAGCTCTTGTCGCAGCACGATTGGTAGTGCCTCCCAGCCCTTGGCATCCTGTTATGCGTATGAAACTGTTGCCATGACTGGCAGAAGGTTTCTAAATCTACACCTGGGATTTGAGGGCTGCCACTGCAGAGCACTTTAGACCAATTCTGACAGCTGGAAGGTTCTTTAAAAGTACAGGGAGCGAGACCTCGTTATGCGGGCATTTTCACTTTCCTCCCCCCCTCCCCCCACTATAATGCCCACTTTAATGCTGGTGTCACAGTCAAGCTCAAGTACTGCAACTTATGCAATATCAAATAACACAAAATATTTCTATAACCACACTGTAAGTCAGCAGAGCATAAGGTTCGCAGGTGAGCTGTAAAATTAAGCCAACAATGTATGTATACACGTATGCACAAAAGCAAGTTTGGGGGATCAGCATCACCGATTCGCTGTTTTGCTACTTGAGCAATAGAGCCAACTGACAATGGCCATGATGTACGAAACAAAGGTTGGTTCTTTTCGATTCAGGAGACACGCGCTGGAAGAGAGAAGAAACTGTTCAATCAGTCACCCTCGGGTGTCACAACGAGAGTCGCCCATAGCCTGCTATGTGCATTCAAGTCTCCCAGGAGAACAAAAGGTTCTGGAAGTTCATACATTAAGGACTGGAAGTCCTGTTTTTGTAGGTGATAGCTCGGAGGTACGTAAAGAGTGCAAATCGGGATCAGTTTGTCGAAAAGCACAGCTTGAACAGCCACTGCCTCAAGGGATGTTTGGAGTTGAAAGTGTGTGCATACGATCCCTTCATTCACTATGATAACAACACCTCCGGATGATGACACGGCATCATCACAGTCCTTTTGGAAAACAGCGTATTTACGTAGAAAGTTAGTGTGTTTTGGATTTAAGTGTGTTTCTTGTACACACAGCACTTTTGGTGAGTGTTCGTGCAAAAGTTCTTGAACATTGTCAAGATTCCTGAGAAGGCCCCTGACATTACATTGTATAATTTGAGTGTTCATGATGGAAGTAATGTAGTGCTGTGTGTACGAAGAGTAAGTGGCTGTTTAGGTGGAAAGTATGATTTTAAGTAACAGGGCTGTCACCAGGCCCCGTTATCTGCTTTGTTTCCTTGACGCGCTCCACAGAGCCATGCTGCTCTTTTGGCCCTAAGGGTAACGACATATCCATTGCCTCCTCAGAGGCACTGGATGCCCGCATGTGCGAGCTGGTTGTTCGAATTCTGGGCCTCGCCTGGTGAGGCGAGGCCTTGAGACCTGAGGACCGTGGAGTCTCTGGTCTCTGTTCGGGAGTAGGCGGAGTAGTCTGGACTACAGCCACCTTGGGGGCAGGTGCCACAACCGCCGGCTCGGTATGTGTGGGCCGAGGGAGTGGCGAGGGCTTATGCGGCAGTGCCTCCTCGACGCGCTGCATCAGCGTACATTGGGCCATAGAATGGTGAGACCCTTTTCTTTGCTTCCTTAAAAGAAATGTCTTCTTTCACCTTCAGCGTTATTATCTTTTCTTCCTTCCAGTATGGACAAGAACGTGAATATGCAGCACAGTTTTCATCACAGTTTACACAATGCGGCTGCTTTTTACAGTTCTCAGACACATAGCCCAGGACTCCAGATTGTGTACAGGTCTGGCAACCACGACAGCTTTTAGAGCCATGGCCATACCTCTGACATTGGAAGCAACGACGGGGGTTTGGTATGTATGGCATGAGAGAGGTCTTCGTGTACCCTATTTGAATAGTTTTTGGCAATTTACTAGAATCAAACGTGAGTATTAGGTGTTTCATTGTTATTTACTTGTTGTTTCTTCTGATAATAATTCTCTGTATATTGGTCACATTTTGGCTCTTCCACCCCTTCAAAAGTTCAGTCACGGTCAGGTCATGTAAGTCAGTGTCAGATACCACTCCGCGAGTTGTGTTCATTGATCTGTGCGGTGTTACGGTTATCAGTATGTCACCAAAAGCTGAGAGAAGTCTAGCTTTTCAAATTGTTCTTTGTTCCGAATTTCGAGGAGGAAGTCTCCGCTAGCCATTTTGGTTACCTTGTATCCAGCGCCAAGAGTTTCCGTACGACATCTAGCAACT